TGGCAGGGGTTATGTAGATGTGCCATCGATGGCTGAGCGGCCACAGCCCTACTCTCAGCACTTTGAACAGTAATGAGTCTCAGCGTTGACCACTACTCACCACAATAATAAGAATATATATAATGTATATTTATATTGTTATATGGTTATTTATGTATATATTTATTTATGTTGATTATTAATATATAACGAATATGTTAATGACTAATGTAAAATATATTTTATTCATATGTTAATGGATTTTTTTGGTTACAGTTTTCTTTATTCTTGAGAGTTTTGTGGATGTGAACAATAAAATGCGATCATACTCATTCCACATTTCTCTCTCCCAGTCCCCTCGTATTGTCCCTGTCTTAGTTGCCTTTCTGTTGTTTTGAGGGGACAACATGACCAAGGCAGCTTATTTTAGAATGTAGTTAATTTGGCACTCATGGTTGCAGATGTAGAAGGTTAGAGTTACATGACTATTATGGCAGGAAGCATAGTAGCAGACAGGCAAGGTGTTGGAGCAGGGAGATAAAGAAAAAGACATTTCTGGGAACGGTGAGGTTTTTGAAACCTCAAAGCCTACTCCCAGTGACAACAAGGCCTCAACTCCTAACCTTCCCAAACAGTTCCAACAACTGTAGCCCAAACATTCACATATGTGGGCCTCGAGGGGCCATTCTTATTCAAACTGCCACAATCCCCCACCCAACATTAATTGGTGCCACCCATATCTGCACGGATGGACATCACTCATGTTCTATGGCCCCGTTTCGAGGCTGCTAGAGAAGGAAGAGAGCGTACACCTTTCCTTGCAGCACATGGATGGGCTTTCTAACTAGGCCTTGAGGAAATAAGACCAAGAGCTGACAAAGGGACACTTCTGAATAACAAAAAAAAAAAAAAAAAATTGTCAGTTGAGGAAAGAGGCAGCCCACAGAACAGGAAAAGCCTTTTCCAGGTACACATCAGACAGAGGATTAGTGTCTAGAATTTACGGAGAGTTAAAAAAAAAAAAAAAGACTGGACATGAAAAAAAAAAAGACCCTAGTACTAAACGGACAATGGAACTGAATAAGAGTTCTCAAAAGACAAAATACAGATGGTTGCTAACACCTAAAGTTTTTCACATCTCTAAAAAGCAGGGAAATACAGATTAAAGCCACTTTCCCATCCCATCTCACCCCAATCAGAATGGCCATCAACAGGAAATGAATGATAAATGCTGGTGTGGATTTGGGGAACCCTACACACCGCTAGTGGGAGTGAAAACTGCTGCAGCAACTCTGGAAATTAAGGTACAACAATGGTTCTCAACCTGTGGCTCATGACAGGTGAAACTACCTGTTCACAGGGTTTGCCTAAGACCAGAGGAAAACAGATATTTTTGTGCATTAGTGTTTCTAACAGCAGTGAGTGTAGGAGAGCCTGCCGTGCCTCTTACCCGCCGGGCAGTGGTGTGAATAAGGGAGATGGCCTTCTCTCCTCCCTCATTCTTCACCATCTGTGGCAGGCAGGAGAGCTGCCCCCAGAGCCATGAGAGTGGGAGAACTGCCTAGGTCCTTCCTCACAAGATGCAACACTCAGGAGAGCGAGCCTTCACCTGGGCAGCAGGGTAGAGCTGGCCCTGGTAGTGGGCCGGTTGCCAATGAACCAGCCCTGAGGGCATGAGAATAGGAAAGCCAGTGGGCTGACCAGCTCAGGTACCTCTCAGGCCCAGATCCAGGGCTTTGAATTGGCCCACCTCAACATCTTCCCCATCGCTGAGCTGCTGCTGTGTGTGACGGAGCTGGCCCTACAGATCCAAAGCCAAAGTATCTCCTTGGCACAGGCCAGGTTGGCTGGGGACTGAACAGTGGGCTCATGGGAGTCCGTTATCCTGAGGACCAGGTGGGGGGGGTATAAACAGATGGGGAATATATTATAGATACGACACTGTAACCAGAAAGTTGTGGATACCTTTTCCAGCTAGAAGGACGAGTGGTAAAGAAGAAGGATGTTTGTTGCCTTGCCTAGGAGAGCGTTTGCCCAAGACTCGAAGGGTAAAAGTCAGGAAGTCAGCTTGTCGAATATCAGAATTAAATTTCCCCGTGAGAAAGTCGGTAATGATGCACAGGCTTTTGTCGCTAACATGAGTTTACTGGGAAGTATTTTTAAACCTCAGCTGCTAAACACGAATCATTGGGCTTCACAATTTTCGACTATTCACTTTCATCTCATTTGATTCCAGCAAGAAGAGTAAACACCAGAATTCGGTAGATACAAAAGGGAGGACACAGTGGGGTGATCAAAGTTTGTTTGAAGAAACTATTAAAATTTTCCTCCCTCTAGGTAAAGTGAAATGTTGGGAAGGGAACATTGTAGGTTGCCTGTGATTTTAATGGGCTGCCCTATGAGTTAGGCCTGTAAGCGAAATTTATACTGAAAAATACAAACTTTTTTTTAGACTTTTTCCTTCCTCTGCCTGGTAGGCTGTCCTCTGCCAAGAGGTGAGAGATTTGGATTTTACAGCAGTAGAAAGTTAGTTGGCACCCTTTCCCTGGTAGCCCATCCTGGCAGTTCCGTATCAGACCCTTAGCTTAACCCAGGCAGTTGTTGCCAACTCATGGGGACTTCGTATAAACAAATGGTCTTGTATTTCCACACAAGATGGTTTTGTGCTCACTGGCTGATTTGGAGGTAGCTGCCAGCCTGTGCCATGTATGTAGGGGCAATACACAGACAGACAGACTGCCACTGTGCGAGGGTGATGGACGTCTGTCCAGCATATTTGGCTTGCACTGTGTGCTGTATACTCCAGGCCTGGTTCTTTAACGCCTCCGTGAGCTGCTGGCCCCACTGAAGGCTCCTGAGAACAGCTTGTCTCTTTGCACCTCTTAGGTGTCTACACGATAACCAGGCTTTCCTGTTGCATGCTGCCAACTTCCCATTGCCGGTCTGAGAACTTATTCCTGGTTGTCCCCTTCAGGAACCCTTTCCCACTGGCAGCTACCCTCATCATCACCCATAGCAAAACACTCATCAAAGAGAAGCCATGACAGCACCTAAAAAGCCCTGTAGTTGAAATGAAAAGGACAGGGGTTAGCATTTTCCTATAACTGTATTCTTCTCTTAGAAGTTTTGTTCATTTATTATTTAATTCTCAAGAGTTATTCATTTATTATTTAAACAGTGTTCTGCCTGCACACCAGATGAGGGCACCAGATCTCACTATGGGTGGTTGTGAGCCACCATTGTGGTTGCTGGGAATTGAACTCAGGACCTCTGGAAGAACAGCCAGTGTTCTTAACCTCTGAGCCATCTCTCCAGCCCCATAACTTTATTCTAAAGGCTTTTTAGTTTAAATAATTGAAATGGCAAATGGGAAAAAAAAAAAAAAAAAAAAAAGACAGTAACCTGAGCCTGAGCCGGTATGTGTCTTGTTTTCCTGGACAATTTGTTCCCCATATAAGAACAGCCCCTAGGTAGAACCTCACCATTTGTGTCAGCACTGAGTGAAGAGGTTCTCGACCCTTGCATAACCTTTCTACAGGAGATGCCTTAGACAGTTGGAAAATGTAGATATTTGTGTTACCATTCATTACAGTAGCGAAGTTACAGTTATGAAGTAGCAAGGAAATCATTTTGGGGCTCAACACAGCAGGAGGAACTGTATTATAGTGTTTCTGAGTTAAGAAAGTTGAGAACCACCGGCTTAGAGGGATGTGGGGGTGACAGCAGCTACTCTTGGTGATGCTACTTCCACAGGCAGTACTTTCCTGCCAAGAGGAAAGCGTCTCAGTGATGGTAGAAGCCTTCATGTGCCCCTATTAGGGGAAAGCAAAGGAAGAGGACGTAGCAGATTTTATGAGTTGCAAAGATTACATCCTCTCAGAGGTGTGAAGAGAAGGCGATGGTGTGGTGGTGGCAAAATGGAATGATTCCTGTGCTAATTGATGCTGATTGCAGAAGAGAATTAATCACATTTAATGAACATAGTGTGCAAGCCATTCCATCCATCAAATGATGGCGAAACACAGGTCCCCGTTTGTTTTTAATGAGGGAAAGTTGAAAACTATCACTTACCCGGTTCAAAAACACTCTGGTTCTTGAACAACAAAGTTGTTGACATAGCATTTTTATGGGTTGTGAGGACCCTACTCTTCTCATAGCAGATTAGAACAACTATGCCCACATGTGTATGGGAACAGAGGGATAGCGATCGAGTTGACTTACATTAGGCCTGTCCTCTGCTCTGGGACCTTATTTTGTTGCCGTGTCCGTTCTCCCCGCTACCCATCTTTTTGAGACAGAGCATCTCAGTGTAGCCCAAGCTACACTGCCGGTCCTACTACATCAGGCTCCCTGGTGTTGGAATCATAGTAGCTTGGACCACCATAAACAGCCTAGAGTAAAATCTCTCAAGCTCTGAATTAAAGACTCACTTAATTTATTACCATAATATCCACAGTTTCTAAAATTTGCTTCTCATGGGTCAAGGGACACGCCTGTGGATTTGTAGACAAACACCAAGGACTAATGTGGCTTTGTGTACATGGTAGCTCCTTTTGGCATTCGTTTAACATGCTACTTTGAATGAAGGGATGATGTCTAGAGAGATGTCATGAAAACCAGTTAAAAGCTAAGAAATAAGACAGACAAATGATGAGGCTTTCATCAACAGAATTAAGTCCCGTGTGTTTCTTTGTGCTAATTAATTCAGTCTGTCTGCGAGGAAGTTGTCATTACTGAGTTCCTTTCCAGCCCTGACTCCCCTCTGCTGTCTGGGCAGGTAGAATCTGGACAGATTATGTCCTTCATGCAATACTGACTGTTCCCAAGCATAGTAGGTTAATGCCCTGCTCCTCAAGTCACAGACATCCTTCATGATATGCTGCAGAGATCAGGTAACTAGGCATGAATGTATTTCTCTAAATGAGCTCATCAGTGAACCCGTGAAAACTAGAAGATGCACACTCACCGATCATTACCTTTCCTAAAACTCACATGACTGCTTTCCCCCCTATTCCACACAGGAAGAATTTAATGAAAAGCCCGACTCCCTCTTTTTCACCGATGGCCAGAGACGAATTGACTTCGTTCTTGTGTATGAAGATGAAACTAAAAAGGAGAACAATAAAAAGGGCACAAATGAAAAACAGAAGGTAGGAATTTGTTCTACTTTCATTTCCCTTTTGTCCCCTTAATACTGTGAGATGAGAAAAAGCGTGTCGTTTCCGTGAAAGCAACTGTGGAACTGATGTGGGATACCTGAGCCCAACATCCCTTTGCTCCTTCAAGGCCTGTTAGAGGACATTTTGTAGAATCTGAAACAGGCGCTTGCTCGAGCTCTTCCTCAGTCGGTTTCATACTGAAGGGAGATGCACTTTCAAGGAATTGTACCTTCTGTTGTGCAGAACAGATTTGCATTATGGCCCACCGGGTGGCTTACACCTGGCTGGGAAAGGAGGCTGATAATTAACGACAAGTGCAATAGCAGCTAGCCTTCCTGGGGTGCTTGCTCCGGCTGCCAGAGGAGCATTTTGCTCGTGTGTTTTTGTTCTCGTTTAACTCTTCCCACACATGAGCTGGGCTCTGCCGTCACACCTTTGAGCATGAGGGTTGACGCTAGAGCAGCCGGATGGTCACCCAAGGCAGTGGGTGCCTAACCTAGTCAGGGCGGAGACAAATACAGCTTCTCCTCTTTAATCCACACCCTTGTGCCTGGGAGCCCCTTGCTTCCTGTCACCTTCCCGTCTCTTCTGCATCTACCTGGCAGCCATGCTTCTTCTTCCTCTCTTTCCTTGGTGTTGGCCTCTTTCTTTGAGAAGTTAGAAGGACAGGCTAGGGGTATGGCAGCCACCTGGAACTTCTTTACCGAAATGCAAACCGCACTGCACTCACACAGGACGAAAGAAGTGTACACATGGATGCTTAGATCCACTGTAGAAATCACTCATTATTCTAGTCCCCGCTCCAAGGCATGTGCAGTTACACAGACATAGCTCTCGTAGCCCTCATCTATACTTGGCCCATAAACCAAACCAATCTCCAACCTTTTCATTTCTGCTTATTCTTTGAAGGCAAGCGCAGAAATCTTTTCTTTTCTTTTCTTTTCTTTTTTTTTTTTGTAAAATAAAACAAATAACTTTTATTCGCGTGCTTGAGAATTTGGAAAGGGTAAAGTTTAGAGTTTTAAGTGTGTCTGGGACAACGGAGTTAGCCCAGGATGTAGAAAATGGCGCCCAGATTCTAATTCAGCCATTGTTTTTAGCTGGAGTCATTTGGCTTATATGGAACAATTCTCCAGGTGATCATGGCTCTCCTACACACACACACACACACACACACACACACAAAGAGTGAATTTATTGCTTATGCCAAAGGAAAAAGTCCTGTTTGCCACATGGTTCAGGCTTGGGGCTATGCTGCATGTCGCCATGCTGGAACGTAGGCTGAAACAGAGGCTCTGGCATAGTCATTAGGCAGTTCCAGAGTCAGCCTGGGCATCAACATATAGAGCAGAGCAGATGCAGAGAAGATGAAGGAGGAGTTGGTGGGTCTTTGCTGCTGGGACCTGGCAAGGACTGCAGCCATTGTGCAAAATTTGCATCAGGCAGAGCTCATCAAGAGAAGGTTCTGGCAGGACTGGATCATTGCCTCGGGCAAATCTCCTTGTCACGTTTGTAACCGCCCCCCCAACACACACACAGTTAGACTTCCTTGAATTTAGATTTCATCTTACAAATAGGGAATAGGCTATCTCAGCTCTATAACTGGTTGATTTTTTTTTTTTTTTCTTACTGGGATGTAAAAATACTGGCTCATCATATATTCAGTGGCACCGTAGATTCTGCAAAATGGGACTTCAACGCCTGTCACACGGCTGTGGTTAAGATTAAATCAAATTGATATCACATAGACTTCCAGGACATATAAGTCACAAACGTTAATGGCATACTTTCTCTTTTTATTTGGTGTGACACTCTGATATAAGAGGCGTGACTCCTGTCACCCTGCTTTATCACTAAAGTAGCTAGTGGACTTGCTCATTTTCTCAGGATGCTATACTAGCTGGCACATCCGTATTTATATGACTAAATAGTCATGGACCACCCATATGCTGACAGAGCTGGGCATGTAAAGCAAGCTAAACAGATGAAATCCATGAAGGCATAAAAAAAGATGGCCTGGCTTTAGACATGAGCTTTACTGCTGTGGTGAAGGGGCCCTGGAGCTACTCACATTATTAATAAGTTCTTCATTTGCTTTAGACAGGAACATTGGTCTCAGGGTGACTCTCATAAGTCAGGAGGGAAAAAAAAAGTCATCATTAATTTTGGCAATCCTCCAACACAGTGAGTGACATACCTTGATGTTGATATTCATAAGCTGTGCTTTGAAGTGTTTTCAGTTTGCATTTGTACATATTTCTTAATTTTATACTCTGTCAAAACTCAAAGCCCAGCTTTGGAACCACATTTTTATTAATTGGACAGACGTATCTGAGCTTTGTTGTATTCCTGCTGGAGCTTAGTGAGGATTTAGGACAATGCCGAGGAAAGGCAATTTCAAAGTCCTGTTTCCCCTAAAAGGAAAATGTTTTTCTGTATGTCATATTGATTTCCTAAAACAACGCCGTGATTGACTTTGCCAGAATTGATGAAAGTTCTGTAAGCAAGTTTTAGGGCTGTGGAAAGATGGAACTATTACGACAAAAGGCACTCTGAATATACACACAGATTTAAAACCCAAAATTCTGTTACAGCCAACCTTTTAAATACTATGGATCTTTACTCCTCAATATTGGTGAAATCATGTCCTAAGTCTGACTTTCCTTTAAAAGCGTAAGATGTTTGCTTTTGCATTTTATATGGGGGTGATTTTTTTTCTGCAAGCCTTATTTGGCTTGTGCTATGCTTTGCACAGACTCAGTCTGGATGGGTTTTATTGCAGCTCACAAGAAAACAAGGTTTAAAGTGGATTAATTGCTAGAAGGAAATAATTATGTAACTAATGAGGAGACAGAGCCGGTACTGAATGATGCAGGTAAGGCCACTGTATCCTGGTCCTCAAGCAAGCATCCCCTGGCTGTGAGGTGACAGCTGGGACTCCAGGCAGCCAGCAGCAGGGGACTGTCTCTTCTGAGAGATAAGGAAGCTCTTACCAAAGAATCCTGTGCTGCCTTTTCACTGTAATTCCTTGTCTAGCATAGATCATAGCCACTTTCTTCTCTCCCTCCCTTTCTTCCTCTCCTTCTTCCTTTGCCAAGGTCCCATGTAGTCTAAGCTCATCTTGAATTCACTATGTAGTGATGACTTTGAGCTACGCATCTACCTGCCTATACCCCCTGAGTATTGGGATGATAGATAAAATGTCACCATGCCAAAAGTGATGGCTAGTCTCTGTCCCCAAGCAAGCCTGCAGGTGTGAGGATGGGGGTAGTCTCTTGATTGCTAATTGATGGAACAGGGTATAGCCTAATGCGGGCCATGCTATCCCTGAGCAAGTGGACCTGAGGTGTGTAACAAAGCTAGCTACGCAGAAGCGAGGAGGAGAGGAGGCCAGTGAGCAGCATTTATTCATGGTCTCTGGTTCAGTTTCTGCTCTAAGCTCCTGCCTTGGTCTCCCTCAGTGACATGCTCTCATCTGTAAGGTGAACCCTTTCCTCTCCAAGTTGCTTTTGGTCGTGTGTTTATCACTGCAATGGAAACCAAACTAGGACAGCAGGTTGATTGATTGATTTGGAGGTTGAGACCCAAGGCATCATGCATGCTAAGCAAGAATTCTGCTCATTGAATTACATCCCTTACCATCTCATAGTCTGTTATAATTCAACAATAGCCAGACTTCCATGTCTGCTGGCTCTACGTCCATGCATTTAGCCAACCACAGATTTTTTAAAAATGTATATATTCAGAAGGGGGCTGGAGAGATGTCTCAGTGATTAAGAGGACAAGTGGCTCTTGCAAAGGGCCTGAGTTTGGTTCTCTGAACCCACATGATGGTTTACAACCATCTGTCACTCCAGTTTCAGGCCATCTAATGCTCTCTTTTGGTCTATGTTGGCACCAGTCACACATGGGTGCTCAGACATACACGCAGTCAAAACACACACACACACACATTAATAAATCTGTTTTTTAAGTGTTCAGAAGAACTGTCGTTGTTAAACACATGTATTATTCTTCACTGTTCTCTAACGTGGACAACATAAGCATTCAGCTGCATTATGCTGTGTTTAATAGAAATCCGAAGTGGTTTAAAAAATATGGGGGAATGTAGCTAAGTGATATCCAAATACTGTACCTTTTTTTGTGTCAGGACCTTCTTGGTGTTCATGGAGATTGTTTTCCGTGGGCATTCTAGACTCCATCCCTGTGTCTGCAGAGGGGGCTGGACTAGTAAGATAATCTTTCACTGCCCTGTGCTAGGTCAGGTGATCTCCTGAGTCACAGCACCACTCAGTATCAGAATAGTGTTCAGGCTTTTCTTTGTAACATGGAAGGGGAGTTGGCCGTCAGTAAGCTGCCATCGGTGTCTGGCACCAAAAACTGCTACTAAATATGTCTGTTCTATACTGTAATGAGCAAAGAGGTTTTAAATGAAAACCGATCCTCTTGCATTGCTCCAGTTTTTCCTTCAGTCTCGTTAGTAACTGCTTCTTTCTTTCCACCTTTGCTAGAACTGCAAACAAGCTGCAAGCCTGCTCTGCTGCTGATCTTGTTTTGTCCAGTACTTGGCTCCCTTCAGATAGTTGTGCGCCTGACCACACAGTAACAGAGTCAAATGATGGGGGAACGGGCAAGAGGTGCTGTCTAGACAGAACAAAAGCGGTGTGTGTAATCCTGATTACGTTTTATTTCCTTTTTATCCATTCCTAGTAATTGATGGAAACATAGTTTCCTTAAAAAGTTGAGGAAGGGCATGCCTGTGAAAGCATATGATTGTATGTCATGCTCACCTTAAGAATTCTCAAGAAGGGTCAGATTCGGAGACCGACACGTAAGAATTTTAAAGTAGCAATCGAGCTACTTTATAGAGCTTCTTTATAGAGTAAACACAGGTATTAGTTAGCGTTCAATCTTGTGAACCTTTAGAATCATTGGGCAGTGCTCACGTGAGTCACCCCAGGCAGAATTGTTACTAAGAAGGTAGATAAGCT